ATCACCTACTATAAAATCTGCTTCTAACTTGATTTCCTGTGAAGCCAAATGTAATCAACTAATTATAGATATGACCTGATATGTAGGTAAAGGAATAGTTTTAACTACAATGCTTCTCACTAGAGTTGTGGAGGGTTTCCCCTCCAGAGAGCTAAGTCAATCCTAAGGTTGTTTTCTTCTTCATTCTACGGCTTTGCCCTCTGCCCTCTGCATGTCTATCTACATTTATGTGTTTTTGCCATTTTCCTACATGTGTGTATGTTTAGTAGTGTTAGAAAGAAATGATTCCAGGCGTTCTTGTGTCAACTGTCTGCCTCTTCACACGTTGATATGGTTTGTTTCTTATCCTTTAAGAGAGCCCTTAGGATCTAATAGCTCCACCACTTCTTAGTACTGTGGTTCTGGCCACATCACAACTTCTCTGTACCCATAAGTATAAAATGGATTTTTTGGTTCTCACTTAATAGGGCTGTTGTGAGGAAGATTCAATAAGTAAATACACAGAAAGGGCTTGGCACAGTACCTCATACAAAGTAAACACTAAATACATGTTACCTATTATTACTTTATTATTATTATCATTGTTGTTATTATTATCATTATTATTAGCTTGTGGAGGGCCTGACTTCCTTGCAAAGTATCACCAAGATACCATCTAAGAAACAAAACCCACGTTTAGAGACTTTTAGGAGGGTTGGTATGCAGGATCTGAGATATTTAAAATGTACTTCAGAGAAATTATGTGATTTGCCTAAACCCCTGTTTAGTAGGGGTTTGGATTGAGTTTGGATTTATATGCTGGTCCATCAAATACATATTCTTATGTGCTTAATTTAACTAAGTAATAATGCTGCTTAGACTTTAATAGCTACCATTTTCCAAAGTTTTTCCATGTGCCATGACCATTAAAATGAGAAGTTGTTCATTGTGTCATGTGTCACGATGATTAAAATGAGAAGTTATTTCAGTGGTTCCAGCTTTCTGGATTTAACGAATCAGTAAAATTTTTTAATTGGGGATTTAACATAAGGTTGTTTTTTAACAATTTATTGCCCAAAGACATATTAGTACGTCTTTTGTTACCCGAATGTTACTGACCAGAGACGTATCAATACGTTTTCAGAGAGTGATACAATTAACATCACCCTGTGGAGTTGTTAGAGCTTAAAATTGATCATGGGTTCATTATACAACTTATGTTGTTATCATTCATATTTTGCTCCGTTAGGTTTTTGTTCCAACCTTGTGTATATTATAAACACAAATTTATTACCGTAAAATTTTCAAAAATGATGCATCATGAAATTTTGAGTGAGGAAGAATTTTTCAGTGTATTTTATGCAGATACTTTCTTTGATTGTCCGAGCAACATATATACTACTGTCTCAGAAGATGACAGTTTTTCAGAATATAGTCCTGATTCAGATGATGTGAATATTCGACCCACAAAAAGACAAAATACCTTAGTGATTGATTTTGATATGGCAAGTGAAAATGAAACTCACAGTGCTGGAGAATGCTCCTTTGCTTCTACAGAAGAGTGGATTGAAGACAACATTTCATGAAAATTAGAAGATCTTACAGGTGTGTCAGGTGTAACTACTGAATGTAATAACTCACAAAGTGTTAGTGAAATAACAGAATTAATTTTTGGTAAAGACTTTTTTGAGTTGGTCGCTTCTCAAACAAACTTGTATCACCAACAGAATAAAAAAATCATACAAAAAGTATGATAAGACGTTAAAATGGACTGATGTAACCAATAGTGACATGAAGAAGTTTCTTGGATTAATAATTTTGATGGTACAAATAAGGAAGTCACACTGGAAAGAATATTGGTCGACTGATCCCTTACTTTAAACACTTATCTTTCCAAAGATTATGATGAGGCGAAGGTTCAAATAAATAATGACATTGCTTCACTTTAACGATAACTCAGAAACTCCACTTCCTACAGACAGAATTTCAAATGTTAAACCTCTTCTGGATTATTTTCTACCAAAGTTTCAATCGATCTATATACCCAAACAAGAGCTATCACTTGAGGAGGCAATGATAAAGTGGAGAAGACGACTCAGATTCAAAACCTACAATCCTGGAAAACTTGAAAAATATGGAATTTTGGTCAGGATGGTTAGCGAAACTGCAAATATATATGCAACCTTGAGATTTACATGGGTGAAGGAAAGAAACTACAAGAAACAGTATTATCAGTCCTACAACCTAATCTTGGTTCATGGCACCATATTAACCAGACAATCTTTACAACAGTGTGTCCACATCTGAAATATTGTTGAAAAATAAAACCAGAGTTTGTGGGACTATAAGAGAGATTGTGGTCTACCAAACCAATTAAAGGAGAAATCTAAAAATCTACAGAGGGGAGAAATGACATTCTTACGGAAGGGAGAAGTGATTCTTCTCATAAGGGAAGACAACAGGCTAGTCTGCATGGTGACAACTATTCATGATGCCTCCATAGCATCTACAGGAAAGGAAGACAGGAGGACTGGCCATCAGATAACTAAGCCCACTTGCATATTAGAGTAAAATAAATTTATGAAAGGAGTTAATCGATCCAATCAGTATCTGGCAAACTTCAATATCCTCTGGAAAACTCGAAAATGGTATAAGAAAGTGGTTTTCTATTTGAGTAATTGCAGTCCATTCAATGCATTTAAAATTTATTGTAGCCTTAGTGCACAGAATAAAATGACTTACAAGCAATTTTTGTTAGCAATAAGCCAGAGAATGGGTAACTGACCATTCTGGTGAATGTAGTGGTACTCCCGCACCTGGTCCTTCTTGTGGCATTTCTAAGAGTCCCCTGAAAAGATCCACCTTGTCGACTATCAAATAAAATAAAAGAATATATTCAAGAGGAAATAACACCCACAGGACTAAAAAAAAAAAAAAAAAAATGCCGCCAGAAAGTGTAAAGTCTGCTCTTCCAGGGGAAAGCGCAGTGAAACACGGTATATTTGTAATAAATGTTCTGTTCCCCTGCACAGAGGTGCCTGCTATACTGCCTATGGCACTCTAACGAAATATTAGAATGCTTTAGTAAGACATGTTTAAAGTTTCAAATAAATACATTAAGTGCAAAAAAAGTTGTTGATATTTACTCAAACACGGGTGTTTCAATATTCACTTACATAACAAATTGCTGGCCACAGGCATTAGTCTCTACAAAAATCCCCGGGCCAATAATATGTTAAAATTATTCCTTTAATTGAATATATTCAGTTTTAGGGGAAAATCATTATACTGCCACTGATTTTGTTCTTTTGCTAAGAATTAATACAAACGTCATCACATATCAGATTATATAATAGGCCCAGAAACTAGAATTTGAAATTCTTGACGTCTTGGTCAAAAATTTTATAGCACTTCAAAAATTGAGATATACGTACTTCATGTAACATAAAATTAACCATTTTGAAGTGTACACTTCAGTGGTTTTTAGTATATTCACTATGTTTTGCAACCATCATCACTATCCAGTTCCAGAGGGTTTTTATCACTCCACAAAAAAACCCTCCACCTACTAGCAGTTAGTCCCAAATCACCCCTTATTCATCTCCTAGTAGTCATTAATGTTTCCGTCTCTTCAGATATGTCCTTGGGAAAATCTTTTATCTCTGCACAAAATGGCTGTCTCAGATCTGTGATTTGTTTTTTATTCTTTGCTGCCTAATCAAACTGCCCAAAACTTTACCTTGGTGTGTGGGTTGTCAGCGGCATATGTAATATGTACAATAGAGGGCATAATAGAGAGTATGAAACTCTAAGAGATCTCACTGTCTACATTTACTTCCAATTTTATATCTTCCTCATCTTTTCTTTCATTAATTTGGTATTTACTTATATAACATGCCAAATTACACATACTTTGAACTTAATTTGAAGACAGCTAATGTTTTCAGTAATCAATACAAGTCAAAAGAGTATTATAAGAATCATCTTATTTTTTTAAATTTACAACTAATTATAGGTTCCCAAATTCTGGTCCAAATTTGTGCTCTTATTTAGTTGCTCCATTCTCTGTATGCCCATACACTCTGTTCATTTCTCAGATAATTTTATTTTAAAATAGAGATTCAAATGTGTTACTATGTTTCATTGTGATTTATCTGTTGACATGTCTCTGAGTGGAATATGAACTCCTTGAAGGAAGGCCTTTGTCTCCACATGTTTGATTTTCAGCACAGTGCCTAGTACATGATATAAGTTAATGTTGTTGAATGAAGGAATGGGATTTAAATATACAAACATATGTATCAAAATTTACAATAATACCCAATTATGTATCTATATATTACACACTATTCCTCTATTATACTACATATACATATACCATGTCAAGTTTTATGTAGTTCACAACTATATTCAAAATGACTTATTTTGAACACCATAAAATGTTACATATATCGAGTTTTACACAGTATTATAATAACCTCTAAACTAGTTATTACACACACACACACACACACACACACACGCAGCACAATGTTTAACAGGTTATTTACCACAGCTTAACCGCAAGACAGAAGAACACTGAACAATGGAAAAGCTTGGAGATTAAAGTCAGGCAAACAAATCTGCTTTTGGGTTGTCTAGCAGTACCTCAGTGACGTAGGCTATTTCTTTCTGAACCTGAATTTCCTGTGATGTGGAGACATTTAATACCATGTTTAGGGAACTGGTTTAAGGGTGGAGTTAATCTAATTTAAGGGCCTGGCACTTGGCAGGCTTTTAATGAACTTTAGCCGGTACTTCATCCCTCAGCCTAAACCAAGTAAAGGTGGGGTTTTTTTCCACACTTTATGAGTCTTTTCCTGTCACGGAAACCTACCCTGTTCTCAGTTTGTCAAGTCAGAGGGTCCGCGTAAGACGGTAAACGCACAAAATAATCCACCTTGCTAACTCTGAAGTGCTGCTAAACCCGCAGGAAGCGCTGGGCGGACCTCCAGTATCCCAGCATTCCTCGCGCTATCCGGTTGCTCTTCTCCCGCGTCTCTATGGTAGAGCCGGCCTGGGAGGCTGCAACGGCGGTGGGGGCTGTGGTAAGGCGAAGTGAGAGGTCCAACTTTCTTACTGGACTGAGAGGTTTTGGCCGCGGAGGGTCGCGATGTCAGAGAAAAAACAGCCGGTAGACTTGGGTCTGCTGGAGGAGGACGACGAGTTCGAGGAGTTCCCTGCAGAAGGTAACCGGCTCGCCCGCGGCCTCTGGGCCGCGCGGACAGTGACTAAGGCCTCCGAGTGGAGGCGGCGCGGGTGGAAGGGCTCGGCCGGGAGGCACCCGCGGGAAGTCTGGAACCCCGCTACTGGCTCTCAAGGCTCTGCACGCGCGACCCTCCACGACCGACTTCGGGTCGAGGTGTCACGGTGGGACTCACCTCAGCGGTGAGCCTAAATGCCTTCTGCTTCCTCACTGGGAGGAGCCACGGGGACCCTGGTTCCCTAGCCCGGTGTCCGGGATGGGGGGGCCTTTTCCTCTTCAGCCCGGTTACCGCCACCTCGTTCATGTCTACACAATCCCTTTTCCCTTTATTTATTGTTATTGTTATTATTATTAGTTTTAGCAGTCTTCCTTTGCCTTGAACCCTTCCAGAATTAAATTGTTGTTCCTAGTTAGGCCGATGCTGCCTACATTTAGGACTTAACATATGAAGCCTGTTAAGTAGAACGGGAGGATCAGGTGTTAGGGCTTAATTCCCGTTATTGCCTTCCTCTTGTTCCTCATTAATTTTTGATCACTTAACTTCAAACTAACATAAGTTTAAGGATTTATAAGACCGTAAAACGTCTACATTTTTATTAGCTTCATGGTTACCGAGAGGAGCTTTAGTTTTCTCATTGTAGGTACCAGCAAATAGCTAACATTGTTTGGGTGGTTGCTTGTCTGAGTATTTTGCTTCTATTAACTTAATTCATTTTCACAAGCCTAATAAGTAGGAGCTGGTATTTACATTTTTCAGATAAAGAAACTGAAGCTTGAACAGTTAAGAAACTTGCCCAGTGTCACGTAACTGGCTAGAAATGATGGGAACCTGGCCCAGTTGACACTAGCACTCTTAAAACTCTTTAGCTGTACTGCTTCTGTTTGTTAGATCGTTGTTGCCAATCAGGGTTTCAGAATTGTTGGTTTTATCAACTAATTGCTATGCGTAAGGTAAATATTTATCTTATAAGAAAAGGAGGTTACTATTGGGTGACCTTTCTGAAGGTGTAGGAAGAGAACTGTGGTTAATGGTTACAAATCTGTTACATTAGTTACTGCTTCACCAAAATGGCCCTGAGTTGTACTCCCTCATGATCCTACTGTGCATAAAGCCACAAAGCTGTAACATTTGTTATTTCTATTTATAGTGTACTGGGTTGTTTAGTGGAAGAAGACCTTGGAGCACATACTACACAAATTCGTAAACTAACCCAAAGCACATCTATTTTCAGTTCTGGGATTCATTATGTATTGTGGGGATTGTTTTTTGTTTTGGTAGTGGATTTATCTGTGCAGACATGTTTTCTTGATCTCACTTTCAAGTTGGTTCATAATCCTCCAACAGTGAGCTATGTAGTAAAAATCTGGCTTGAGATCAGGATCTGCTTCTAACGCAAACTTCATATTTGATATAGTTAGCATTTATTGTTTATCATATACAAGATACTATGTTAGGCACTTTATCTACATTATATAGTCTAATTATCACATCTCTGAAGAAACTGAGGCTCAGAGATTTTAAAAGCTTGCCATTAAGTGGTCGTCAGGATCTGATAGGTCTTTCTGAGTCCCCAACCCAAGCAAACTTTAACCTGAATCCCTAACGTTTAGCCAAGTGCCTGGCACATGGTAGACGGTCAGTAAATGCTTGTCGAATGAGTGAACCTGTGTTTAAAATAAGTAGTCGAGAATTGACTGCTTAAAAAGGATCTAAAGATAACTGGGCCTGATGATACATACGATGTTTCAGCAACTTTCATTTCATCAGCTTTTGCAGAATATGTAATTCTTGTACTAAGTTTATGTTGGGAACATCAGTTTGTTCAAAATGTTGGTAGTTACATAGTAAAAAAAAAAATCTCATTAAAGTTAAAAGGAAAAGCAAAGAATATTTTTTCTGAAGACAGGCCTCCCACAACAGACTGGTTTATTATCATAAGTAACTCACCATTTATTGGTCACCTTACAGAAAATCTGTCATCTTCAGGTTTGAATATGTAGAACCTCATTCATTCAGGAGATTTTCTATTTAGAATGAGCAGTAACATTTGAAATGCTTTTGCTTGTTTAGGTTTTTGTGTGTTTCTTCTCTGGTTTTTAACTCAGACAGGTAAAGTTGGAGAAGCAGTACTTTGAAACTGGCCTGTTTTGAATCTTTCAGTATTTGAGTTTTCAGATCAGTTATTAGTGCCCTGAATTACCAAGTCCTTTGCCTTCTTTGGAGATTCTTTTTCTTGTGATTGTCTTTATGGTGACTATGCCATTGACAAACTCACAAGTAGATACAACTTAAAATTGCCTGTAATCATCTAATCAATCTAGAGGAGGTCTTACTTTCAGTGGCCCATTGGGTCTCTGTGTTCCAGAAAGTGAATGATGTCCATTGTCTAGGGTAGCTTGCAGTTAAGAGCCTGTTACATGAAAGCATTACTGAAATTATGTATCCCTGGTTTGACTACAGAATTGTATATTTTTTGAGGGTGTTGTTGCTACATCTTATTCCTGATAAGAACTTGTTTGGTAAGATGTCAATTCAATCATTATAAGGAAGGAGAATTTCTGTTTTGAAAAGGAAACTAAGATAATGCGTTTTCATGGAGACTTCATTGTTTCTTCTGAATAGCTCTTCTTCAGTGTGAGGTGTGACGTGTGGGGTGATTTTCTGAAGGTGCAAAGAAACAAATGCTCCTTTTTTATCATTTGGACTGTGGATCTGTGTTACATTGGCAGTTCCTCACAATTCTAATTGGTGGGTGTGTGATCTGGTCATTAAGTAGGAACTGTTAAAAATCATGTTTAGGATCTTTGTGAATTCTGCAACTTCTTGACTATTTAAACTCATTGACTATCAGATTTGTTGGAAGACATTCAACGTTTTGGGAATGATTTAATATAATTTTGGAGGCTTGGCATGGTTAGAATTTTAGAACTGGAAAGCAACTTAAAAGTCTTGAGAAGCTAGAACTTGTCAAGATCATACAGCTAGGTTAATAGTAGTAGGGTGGGGCCTAAAACTGAAATACTCTATAATTTATTTGAAACTTCAAACAATTTTTCAAATCAGACATATATTGAAAAGGTATTAAAATATTTTCATTAATCTCATTTCTCTTACAATTAGAAGTGGATGAGAGTGAAAATGGGAAGAACAAGTGGGCCTTTCATTTCTTTTATTCTGTTCTTCCTATGCCAGAATTGAGAGATTTCTTTCCTTTTTTTGAGGGAAAGAATATTTAAAATGAACCTGAGTTTGCCTTCAGAAGCAATGGTGTTTACAAGAGAATACTATTATACCAAGTAGTTTATAATTTTTCTATAATCACTGGAACTGCTGTGTTATCTGAAGCAGGCTGGTGGTTCCCTAATGCTGCTAGCATTCTGGAATAACTGAGGCACTCTCGCCTGTGCCTAACAAAGTAGGACATCTTATAGCGGTTCTTAACCAAGAAAGTATTTTTGGATATCACATTCACTTGTCAAGTGAGAAAGTAAAATAACTGCCAGCGTATAGTGGGTAAAGGTCAAGGATTTTAAATACTTGCTATGCATAGACCAGTCCTGCACAAGGAAGAATTGTCCTGTGAAAAATGCCACTGAGAAATATCTATGTGAACATTGGATACCAACTGGACTAAATCGTCAACAAAAGAGTTCCTTAGAATCTTAGTTAAATACTGACTATGTCAGATACTGTACTAGTCAGTTTACCTAGAGCCAAAAGGGCTTTGGTATTTTCAGTTATTAAATGTAATATAGTGGACACATAAATAAATAATGTCACATATTTAAATTAGTTGCATGGTGGTAGCAAGAAATGAAGAATTCATGTTACTAAAATCTTTTAAGAAAAAAGATAGATATAATGAATGATAAAGTGCCTATTCGATGTCCATTCATGGTAATCATATGCAAGAAGAAAATTTTTGAGCTCCAGGATGGAATAAGCATGATGAATCTAGGATCAGACCTAGGTTCAAAATCCACCATCCATCAACTTTTTGTTTTCCCTCAAAATTCACAATTTTATATGTTGTAGAATATGAATACAACAGAGAAGTCATTACCACCAAAAAGGTAACAAACATATCCATCACCCCCAAAAGTTCACTCGTGTCCCTTTATAATAATCTCTCCCTGTCAGTCCTCTCCACATCCCTTCCCATCCCCAGAAAATCACTGATCTCCTTTTGACATGATAGATTAATTTGCGTTTTCCAGAATTTTGTATAAATGGAATCAGACAGTATCTTTTTCCTCAGGCATCTTGTACCCAGCATCATTATTTGGAGATTCATCCATGTTGTTGCGTTTATCAATAGCTTGTTCCTTTCTCTTGCTGAGAAATATTCCACTACATGGCTATACCACAGTTTGTTTATTCTTTCACTTTCTGAGGAACATTTAGGTCATTTCCTGTTTTTTTTCCAATTACCCTTTTTTTTTCCCTTACAAATAAAACTACTGTGAATATTCATGTAGAAGTCTTTGTGTGAACATATGCTTTCATTTCTCTTGGTTTAGCACCTTGTAGTGAAATGACTGAGCGTTACAGTAGGTTTATGTTCAACTTTAAGAAACTGCCAAGCTGTTTCAGGTGTAGTTATACATTTTACATTCCCACAAGCAGCGTATAAGGGTTCTAGTTACTCTACGTCTTTGTCAACACATGGTCATTTTAATTTTAGACATTCTGATAGGTGTAGTGGTATCTCATTGTGCATCAGTTTTTAACTTGTCGACTTGTACTAGTTACTTAAATCCTTTAAAATATTTTTGCAGCAAAATATGTAGGATAATTGTACAAGTAACTGCTTATTTAAAATTTAAACCTATGAAAAGGTATAAATTAAAAAGTGAAAGCACTGTTTCTCGCCAACTTTCCCCAAAAACATTACTTATGCTCCAGTATAATCACTGTTAAACAGTTCTTTCAGTGTCCTTCCTGAATTTATATATATGTATACATATATATATTTATTTGTG